ATAAAGCAAGCGGGGTATCCTGCACACTTGAGTGCATGGGCTGAGATTTATACCCATTAATTACACTGAGTCTGACATTGCATATTTGGAGATATGAGAATAGCTACGAAAGAAACAGCCCCCAAGTCAGAAAGCTGGGAATGCAGAGGTGGAATTCCACTAAAACAAGGCTCTGTAAGCAAGAGCATCCCTGCTGGGGGTGGTGCTCTCTGGCGACAGGGAAGAAGGTTTTCTTTTCTTCTGTGGAATGTTTTACTGTTGTGGGTTCAAAGCTGTGTACCTGAGGAGATGTTTCCAGTCAAAGACCTAAACTCAGGTGGGCTCAGCACACCCAAATTGGCCTAAATCAGCATGGGGGGACGAGTGGGGAAAAGAAGGCTGCTCGTTCCTTTGTCCCAGAGTCTCACTTTGGGGACGTAAACTGAGGAAGGGGACTTGGGCTTGCTCAGGCCTTCCTGGATGGCACGATTTGGTCATCTTTAGGCTCTAGTCTCTGTCGTTCTCTGCGGTGTTGGGAGGAAATGGTGAAGAGGCTGAGCACAGTCTTTCTATTGAATTAACTGTATTCTAGTTACGATTTAGGGATTCAACTTTTGCTGATTTCTTTACTCTCCTCATCATGAAAACTGATTTTCTGCCATTCAGGGAAAAAAAGGAGAAATTGTGAGGAAGAGGCAGAGTCTTTACTTAGCAACAAGGTAGAAAACGGTAACCTCTCTTTATCCAGGATCTTGACAAGCTCAAAAATTAAAAAACAGCCAGAATATTTTTATGGTATCAACCCTAATGTCTGGATCACCGGATTGAATTATATCCAACATCAGTTTGGTGGCTATATTCAACAAATATTATTTATTTATTTATTTGGTTGCGTTGGGTCTTTGTTGCTGTGCGTAGACTTTCCCTAGTTGCGGTGAGCGGGGGCTACTCTTCATTGCAGTGCATGGCCTTCTCATTGTGGTGGCTTCTCTTGTTGTGGAGCACGGGCTCTAGGCACGCAGGCTTCAGTAGTTGTGGCACGTGGGCTCAGTAGTTGTGGCTCGCGGGCTGTAGAGTGCAGGCTCAGCGCACAGGCTTAGTTGCTCTGCGGCATGTGGGATCTTCCTGGACCAGGGCTCGAACCCATGTCCCCTGCATTGGCAGGCAGATTCTTAACCACTGTTCCACCAGGGAAGTCCCTATTCAATGAATATTAAACACCTACTGTGTACCAGGCATTGTTTTAGGTGTGAGGGATACACCGGTGAGCAAAGACTCTACTCTCATAAAGCTATGTTCTGGTGGGAGAGACGGACAACAAACAAACAGATGCATATGTCAATTTGCAATAAGTGTTATAGAGGAAAGAAAGCAGGGTGAGGGAGTAAAGAGTGATGGAACAGGAGTGTTTTCCTTCCATTTCTCCAGAGGTCTGGAGCTCATCTGCACCTCAGGACTTTTGCAAATGTTTTCTCTGTCTGGATCCTCCTCTTCTTTGTGTCAGCTCTTGCTTTTTGCCAAGTTATCTCTCACGATCCTTCAGAGCTCAGCCCCAAATCGCTTCCCGAAGAAAGCCTTCTCTGGCCCTCCAGAAGAGACCAAGGTCAGGTTCCTGCTCAATTGCAGCACCTGAGCTTCTTTGCTGTACTGAGGACACTTACAATGCTGTGTATGGGATGGTTGAATACCTTTGTCTCTTCTAGACCGTAAGCTCACAAAAGCAGAAATGATGTCTCGTTCCCTGCTGAATCCTCACAACCTTGTAGTCTGCAGAGTAGGGACCCAACAAATAACTGTGGAGTATCTGAATAACTTTCAGGATGCCAGAATACTCAATTAGAGAAGTCCCCTTCCCAAGGCTGTTTACAAAACACTGTGCTTAATGTTGTAGGCCATTTACATAATTTTGGCATTTTTTTTCTGTAGCAAGATTAATCTACATAATTTGGTTTCATTGGACTGTGACTATCCATAGTAATGTATGACGTCACTATCCTCCTCTGTTCCACCTTAACAACCTTCATGGCCCTCGGAAACCTGTGCTGACTGAACTACAAGTTAAAATGAATAACCTTTTATTTGTAAAAGATCGAGTCATAAATAGGCAGAATCAACCCATGCTTTTATTTCCATTGCATATAAAAATTTCATATGAAGGTATTGATGTACAGTACTATCCCCATGGGCTGTAAGAGAGGCTATGAAACCACTAAAAGAATCATCATTTGTAATGCTCACACACAATTTACCACTCCGAAAACATATCCAAAGAAATCAAATTAAAAACAACTAAAATCAGTAAGGATGTTTTTTTGTAATTATAGTGTCCCCGTTGTACTGTTTAAAACAAAAGTAATCAAATTCCTTTGGGCCAGGGCTGCTAAAGTCTACAGTTTGTGTCAAAAAAAAAAAAAGAAAAAAGAAAAAAGAAAGAAAGAGAGAAAGAAAGAAAATAAAAGGAGGCTCATTTTTTCTAGAAAAAGAATCTCTCCTTCCACTAAGTCACACATCCTGAGGGCTGGGCCACTGGGAATTTTTCATAGCTTTTAGGAGCTGTGCAAGGTTGAATTTAAAAATTCTAAAGCAATGCAAGTTTTGCTGAAACAGATTCTAGAGAATGGTGAATCCATTATGCCGTGTGAATTGGCATCATATAAAACTTTGTGTTTAAATACATGGATTTACATACGTAAGGAAATTTGGCTCATCTTACTTGAAGGGTTAAAAACATGACCTTTTCCATATGATATATTTCCTTAACATGACAGGAAGCCAAGGAATAAATTACTAACACACGTGACCTACGGCTCTAACTTCAAATCAAATTCGTTTGCCCGTGTGCTCTAGAAGCCAAAAAAGACTTTTTATAATCACTGGACAAGAATATATCTTCCCAGTAGTGTTTGAAAATAAAAAATCAAATGTAACTAACTAACGTAGCTCAGTTAGTATCTGATAGGGAAAAATCACCATCGTATATGCCATGCTGCTTCATGGCAAAAAGTACCTAAGGGCTTGTCTCTCAAAAGGGTCTCAGAATGCTCCAGAGGTTGTCTGTGTTTCTGTAAAATCCAGCTGTTGCCAGAAATCCAACAGATCAAAGCTCAGATGTGAAATGCCCAGCCCTAGCCCCACCACTACCTAACTTTCAAATGCAGCAAAACAGAAGAAAATATTGATTAAAGTTAAGGCACAGCCCTGGGACCAAAGACCTGCAGCTATGTTTTCTTAATTTTATATACCTTTATGTATTTTATAGTTTTCTTGAATCTTCCATAAACAAGCTCTAAGGTGACAAGACTATTTTATAGAAGAAAAGAAAATGTACAAGGAGTATGTATACACACCATTCATTCTCTCACCAAGAGTTTCCAAATATATCAACACCATCCCATTGCGGGATGATGTTTTAATAAGAACTGATAATTTACAATTAACATTACAGTATGTACATTACAATAAATACATGGTTGTAAACAGACAAACAAGACTGTATTACCGGTAAGGTCATTTGGTGAGAAAAAAATGCATGGCACAAAAAATAAATAATGCATTCAAAGAGTATCATAAAGCTTTCTGTAAAATCCACTTCATTCAAGTTTTTTTTTCCTTGTCTGCAATTTGTTCTATCTACATTATTTTCTTGTGAATTTTAAGTGACGTAAAAGAAAATTAAAACAGCATTATTGTGTTCAGTAACTTGCAAGCTGAAATGTACTGGTTTTATGCAAACTTGGACATTTTCTCCCCCGTACAGTACCCAGATATTGCATTTTCTTATGGCATTTTAGGAAACGTAAAGTCACTTGTAAAAGGATATTCTTTTTAAAGCGGTGTATAATTCTGAAGCACACTTTGGCGAAAGGGAAGGGAGAGGAGAAGTATATTGTATAGTGCACTAGTCCCTATCTTTTGGATATTATGTCTCTTCTACAATTTGATTGTCCATCAGTGGATATCTTTACTATCATTAAAACCCAACAAATTGAAAAAAAAACCCCAACAAATTGAAAACAAAAACCATTAAAACCCAACAAATTGAAAAAAAAAAGCCTCTCTTTTTTAGTGCAGTTATAAATCTTTTCAGGTCTGGATTTGTTTGTGACATATTGCTGTTTTAATTTTTTTTTTCATTATTAAGATTCTAGGCACTCTGTGGGGGAAATACCAAGCATTAGGGAGGGGAGGGAATGAGAATATTTTGGAGAAAGGAATAAACACTAGATTCTTTGCCTTTTCCTCTAAACCTCCATCAGGGACAAATAAAATTAAAATGGAAACAAGATTCCAAATATTCTTGTGAAACCACTTGCCAAACATAAGACTTTCTTTGAAAGTCTGGTTTTTACAGGGGAAGGAGGGTGGAACTCTGATAATTAATTGGTCAATTCCTATCCTGTGCTCTGTGTGAAAGATCAGAGCTACATAATTTTTCTATCCAAATTTCTAAGCATCAGTGGATCTCAGGGGATTAAACTAGTATCTTCAGCTTGGGTCATTTCCCTGGCTGCTGACTTAGTGATTAGTCCCCAGATGGCTTCTTTTGACATCCCCAATATAAATGTTTTTCAGGGTTACAATTTTACTTAGTGTTTTATTTATTTTCCATTTGGTCTGATACTCCTTTAGCCTCTACTTGGGTTCTTGGATGTCGCTCTAAAAAATGATTATTCGGGCTCCAAACTCTTCACAGAGATGGTAAACACTTTATTAAGAGCTGAAGTGGGAAGGAAGTCCAAACTAAATAAATGCCCCAAGATGCCAACTGAACAAAAATACTGGGAATCAATCTCTAAAATTGTAATACATTTCTTGATGCTAAATTTAGCCAACAGCGATCTCTAATGTTTGACTTATGCAGAATCTTCTTACCCAGCCCAGTATTTTAAAACGGCATTATATTGCCAAATCTCTGGTGCCAGGGGCATCATCAACTTCTTTCTGTCAGTGTATTTAAAGAAGTTCTTCTCCACAAGACATACTTATGGATCAATGATAACTGATAAATCAAGTGCTACATGTTACATGGCTGTCCTTTAAGGAAGAGTCATTGCTACACTTAAAATCACTTCTCAGGAATATTCCTCATACAGTTCTTAATCCCATGGTGAAATCAGAGAAACAAAAGAGCATTCATTGTACTGGTCTTCATTAATATATTCTGCTAATATTGTTAAAAAATTACCTAGCTAGCTGTTAACGTTTCTTTGTAAATCAAAAGTAAAAGCTAGTCATTATATAGGACCTCATGGCAGAAAGGAATGCTAACTCTAACTTGACTACCTGTTCTTTGCATCAGTCAGCATGGTGGTGATATATTTGATAAGACCCCACGCAGTGAATGTGGACAGAGGTTCAAACACACACTGATGATGAAGCAGCACAAGGGGGAAAAGTTCTTACTATGACTGTGAAAACAAAAAGGAACATGAAATGTGTGGGTTATTACAGAGACATGCACTTGTGAAATGAGGGTCTATTGCCACAGCAAAATGTTCTCAGAAGACGCTAAGTAGGAAAATATCTAAAAAAGACTGACCATTTTAGCTACTGGGTATTTCTATATCTCTCACTTGCTTCAGACAACACCAACTGATGACTGAGTGTCCATGAGGCTTGAGACACATTAGACAGGATGCACATCAAAGTATTATGGAACGAGTATTCACTTTGCACACGGTGAAGAGAGATGTAAGTGGGGAGCAACTCTGCATGTCTGAAAGGAGTGAAACGAAAAGCCAGTAAACGAAGACCTACAAAAAGGGTTTCCTGCAACATAAAGTCAATTTTTGTTTTTAAAATATGGAAGTCATTGGTATATAAAACAATGGGTCACTACAAATCAGTTAATTGCTATGAAGTCTAAGGTGCAAGTAAAATTTGTAAATTAGGTTTATCCAGTGTAGCACAGATTTGTACTGAAAACTTGCAAGTTACTCCTTAGAAAAAAAATAACCAGTGGCAGATGAAGTTCTGAATGTAGTTTTTTAAATATAATACCTCAATACATTTAATAATAAAAGTAAGCTCTACAAAAAATCTGTTTTACATATCATACAAAATGTAGAGGTCAGTGCAGCTCACTGAACCACACTATTCAGTCAGGTATCAGGAAGACTTGAAATTAGAAAATTATGCAATTTCTGTGGCTCATCTTCTTCCTGGTAACAGCTTCACAATGTGTCCTGTTCCTGACCCATCTGTTGCTTCACTCCGTCCATGTAATGCCTGTTTTCTGCTGAAAATATTGCAAACAAATAAAAAGGAAAAGAACCCCCAAATCGTCTCAACTTTTGGGCTGCCTGATGAGCCACACTCCCTAGAAAACACTTTGGAGGTGATTTTCTCTGCGTCTTCAGCTCGACCGAGCTGCAGTCTTCGGACACTGCCGTTCGTGGAGATGTCCCCCTCGTTCTGATGACATGGAGGTGAAAAAACTGGTGACGATATTCCTGAGCGCTAGACTGAGTCGTCAAGGTCAGTTTTGTTCCGCAAACGTCCTGGCAGATGACAGTGAGGTGTGACCGTAGTTGTGGCATGTGACATGCACTTTGGAAACAATGTTTCTACTTAAAAAAACAAAAAACACAAACAAAAGGCATGGAAGTCTCTGCCCTGTTATGTGTCGGGCGAGTGATCTCCGATGGCACAGGCCTCGGGCTGGCTCTCCTCCTCTCCCACGGCTTCCTCTTCCGCCTGCTCGTCCAGGGGGATTTCGGTGGACTCCGAGTCTTGAGTGCAGAGCGTCTTGGAGTCACTGCAGCTAGTGTCTTCTTCCACTTGACTCCCACTGTCCTTTTCGGTGTCTGACTCGCCGTCCTCCTCTAAAGTCAGTTCAAACTGGAACTTCTCGGTTTGACCCTGCCGGCCCTCTTCCTGGTCATCCGGTGCCGGGGAGGGGCTCTGAGGAATCGTGCTCTGGTACCACTCACGATTGTCCTCCAAAGTGTCCAAAATGTCCTGGGCGTCAGGATGGACCAGGTCTGCCCACGTCTCCCAGAGAGGATGAACAATGTAGTCTATGAAGCCCACCTGATTAAAAAAAACACAAAGCCGATTGGGACTAAGAAACAATGGAAGAGGTTAACGAGCCCCCTCAAATGTAACTAATTGATATGTTGAATTAAATTTTTATATATGATATACAGAATTTACAGAAAAATATATAAAATATAATATGCTCTGCAAGGATAACACTGAGCTGAAGACTACTAACCTTAGTTTGGTAAAACAGTCATTATTTTAGGTAGCAGACCAATAAAAAAATGTCATTACTAGCTGGTAAAAACTAGCTTCTCGAACTCTGAGTCCAAGAGTCTGTGATGTAAGAAAACCTCCAGTTGTTTACATGGCAGGACCTGGCTTGAGGCTGGGACTTTATTTTAGAATAGCCCATGCGTAGGTAAATCCACAGAGCTGAAATAATGCCATGTACTCTATATGGATTCATATAACTTTATTCACTTATGAACTGAGATAGCTGAAATAATTCTACACATACGAATATACTATATACATACAGTCACGACGAATGAATATACTGTCCGATGAACGTATATATGACTATATGAATATAAATTCTAAGAATCAAAGAATTTTTTGGCTTGCAAACACTAAGGTGGACATTGAGCTTGACAAAAGTAATTAAGAAAACCCAATAAAATACTGTGTGACATGCATACGGCGTAACCAAACGTTCCGTGTAGTTGTGTTCTCTCTGAAAGCTTTATGCTTAAGGCATCACCTGTGATTTTTCCACAGAGGCATTGTGCTTGTCACACATGGGGCTTATCTCCATGCCCCGCTCCCTCTCTCGGTCCCCTTGGCGGAAGAACTCCTCCATGATGCGGTCCGTCCACTGGCGGTATAGCTGCAGAGGCTTGGTTGGGTTGCTCAGGTCGGCACAATGCACCATGTTCTGAAGGACCTAAAACAGATCAATGCCTTCTCTATTTAGCAGCTGCTCCATTTTTACTAGAAATTCACATCAGATGACTGTGACACGTAAAAATACATGTAGTGTAAGAGTCGTGCCAGACAGCTCGACCATGGTGTGTCTGTGTGAAGTTCACACCTGTGTTAATAGTCCCAAATTATGCCACTTCTACTGCATCTAAGTATCATAAGAGAAACTGTTCATGTGCATGGTTGATTAAATTCAGAGCTGCTTATTAAGTGGTTGGTTTTGTAGGATGTTACTTTTTTTTTTTTTTAAACACATTTCCACTTGAAAAGGTCAACAGGATTTTATCTGGTTAATTCTCAAGATTAAGAATTTGGATAAAAATCCTGCTTACAGCTACTAAAATTATAAGTTGGAGAAAAGGAGACATAAATCTTATCTAAGCTAGACACACAGACACGTGTACACACACACACACACACACACACTCAGACACAGCAAATTCGAATGCTTTACCTGAATCCTATCAGAATAATTATCAAGAAGAAGAACTCCAGAACTTGTCACTTTCTTAGTTTCAACCATAGTTTTCAAATCAGCCAGCAGATTCATGTGCTTTGACATGTCTGTTGCAAGTACCTTAAAAGACAGAGTATTTTTAAAAAATTTTTATTGCAGTATAGTTGATTTACAATGTTGTGTTAGTTTCACACGTACAGCAAAGTAAATCAGTTATACAATACATATATCCACTCTTTATTTTTTAGATTCTTTTCCCATACAGGTCATTATGGAGCATTGAGAGTAGAGTTCTCCGTGCTATACAGTAGAGATATTTCTTTTCTTTTCTTTTTTTTAGCCACACCGCTTGGCATGTGGGATCTTAGTTCCCTGACCAGGGATCGAACCCGTGTGTCCTGTAGTGGAAGCACGAAGTCTTAACCACTGGACCGCCAGGGAAGTCCCAACAAAGAGTATTTTAATAAGTAAAAAACGTCCAGGGGAAAAAAAGTCAGAATTTGCACATAAAAATATCATGGAGAACGTGAGAAGAAATGGAGAACCACTCTGTTGTCTAATAGCTGTGGGTGGGAATCCTTTACTGCTTCTTGGGGCAGAGTCTTCTCCCCTTTGCTATCACTTTCCCTGGAAGCCCAGATACATGTGTGCAATATACAGAAACAGTAGGCACTGGCAGCCACTTTCATAGTGATAGAAAGGGATATTTCCATAGATAAGATATCATCGTACGTTTTGTTTGTTTGTTTGTTTGTTTGTTTGCTTTTGCAGTACGCGGGCCTCTCACTGTTGTGGCCTCTCCCGTTGCGGAGCACAGGCTCCGGACACGCAGGCTCAGCGGCCATGGCTCACGGGCCCAGCCGCTCCGCGGCATGTGGGATCTTCCCGGACCAGGGCGCGAACCCATGTCCCCTGCATCGGCAGGCGGACTCTCAACCACTGCGCCACCAGGGAAGCCCCATTGCACGTTTTGAAGTTTTTCTATCCCTTGTGCTAGAAAGTGGTTACTGGACTACGATGGAGTGAGTCAAGGTTGCTTACAGAGTACTTCAGAAACAATATTCTGGTCAATTTTCTGCTTATCCAAACCAGATAATACCTGCCTTTCTTTGTATGTACAAAGCTTAACAGATTAAGTTTTTGACAACCAGAGATATTCGTGTGTCTCATAATCGCTGTGAAAAACATGCATAGAGAAAAGACTAATGTCATGCATGTTTCTACATGGCACTTGCGCTGACAGAGATTTTTTTTCCAGTTTTTGAATGGAAAAAATCCATTTTTTTAGCCAGCTCCCTGTGCTTTTGTTAGCCATCTCTGTCTGCCACCAGACAGGAGGAGTTCAGAAAATAAACCTAGAATGAGGGTAAGCTGTCATTATTCTTAGCCCCAGACTGTTAGCAGTAGAGCATCATTGCCAGCAGCAGGGCCAGCCTCTGGGACAAAAAAGGCAGCATTACCTTGAAATATACATGATACTTTCCCTGATAGTCATCTCATTCTTTTTTCTTTTTAAAAACACCATGCATCACAGTTCTCTTTTTGCTTTTATCAGTTACTTACAATATCAATGACCATCTTCCTTAATGACTGTCTTTGCTTTTTGGTCAAATTCTGGAAAATGTCGCAGTTTTCTTCCTGAAGCAACTTAAAGCCCACGGCCAAATGATGGTTCTCCAGGACAGAAGAATCATTGTACATCAAGGCAAGCTCAGAGTCTTGAAAGAAAGAGAGAGAAGGTTAGCAAAGCCATTTATGCTAAGTTTATCTTATTCTTCATATTCTGAGATATTTTGGGTTTAGAAAGCAATTTCCCCTAAACGTCTCTGCTCGCATTCCCATTACATGACAACACCTAGGAGAAAGTCTGCTAGTTAATGTAGCCACAGAAAGGTCCCTGGAATCTTGGGAGTGTATTCTAATGCTCTCGGCACACGGCAAGTCAGTTCACCCTGTGGCTTCAGCTTCCTCCGCTATAAAGGGAAAGAAGAGTTAGGCCAGATTACCTTGAACCTCCTCTCCGGATCTGCCAGAGGCAGCTCCGTAAGCTCAGCAGAAGAAGACATTATCCCTAACATTTACAACATGTCCAGAGCATAGAATGTTGTATTCCTGACAACTGCGGACCACCTACCCAACACTGTATGTAATGTAAAGATCACGTGACTCAGGATTATTCGTGCTCTGAGAAGGAACAAGAACAGCTTGGAACACATGAACGATATCAGATTTGTTCATGCTTGTGCTTATTTGGTTCATAGTATAGCTTTGAAAGGCAAAGCTTTATTCATTTTTCCATTTCCTTTTCCAAGTATCTTGGCAGTCACTATACACATGTATACTGCCCGTCCCAGCTGCATGTTCAGGGCTTCACACAGAGACGGGTGTTTAGCTGCCTACATTTCTCCAGAGTGAAGATTCTGCCATTCCCCCACAATTGTCCTGGACCTATTTTAGGTAGTGACAAATCCTGCCTCTTTCCTAGTTCCTATAATAGCAGACTCAGACCTATAAGGTAGTCATCAAAAAAACCTGACTGGTGCTTCATCCTGTTGCCACTTAAGTCACTGTAAAGACGAAAAGCATATGTATTTGATCTTTCTTCTGACTCATGTGTGGAAAATATATATTCTTTTCTAATAAAGAAATACCCAATACTATTCAATGACTATTTTAAAGAAGCTAGGGAGGACGAGAGGGGTTCAAGAATATTTTGACTGAAATCCTATGATTTTAGGTTTATACAGAAAAATAACATTCTATTTATAAGCTACAAATATAGCTGTGGAAAGCTTATTTTAAAATGAGATCAGTGAAATAAAGTGTGTGTACTGTCGCTAGGTCCAGCTCCACCTTCATACAGTGAAATGCCTCTGCTCTTGAATCTCAAAAGTCATATGCTTTGAACACGACTACTGTGTTCAAATGTGTGAGGAGATCTTTTCCCCCCAAACCCAGGCATCTTTGCTATAAACAGAAAGTATTCGTTTTCCACGTAAAATTTACTGCTATATATGTTTTGATGCTGCTTCACTGTTTCAGAAAATAATGCTGTTATGTGAAATGCTTTTTTTAAGATAAATCTCCCCTAACGTGTTCTATTCAATATTTCATGATGCTATTTACATTTTATGGATTTATTTACATAGTATTGTCCTTGAAAAAGACTTATGCAGCTTCTCACCTGGAATTTCCACTTCTTTACATCCTATTCAGAGTCCCCCATTCCCCTACATCATATATAAAAGCTTAACTGACTCAAAACCTGCAGCATGTTTACAAGGAGTGTACGTGTCATTAACAGCAAATCATTTGGTGCCTAAAACTAATACAAGCAGAATGATTAATGAAAACTGTCACCACAACTAAGAAGCAGAGGTGTCTCTGGCCTAGGAATCAGCCAGGTGAGCCCCAGTGCCCCTCCACCACGGCGAGCCATGCAGCCTCCCTTAAAATAGGACAGGTGACCTCCCATCTACAGGAAGTCTGATCTGATGATTCCAAGTCTTTATTACGAGAAACACAGATTCAGCCTTTGGCTTTGGACAGGTTGGCAGCGCCAGCTCCAGGCTAAGAGCCGAGAGTGCGCTAGCCTGAGCCACTGATGCTCAAACAATCCCCAAAAGAAAGAGAAAGCACAAATTTAACGTCTATAAAAAAGGGTTTACTGTAAGCTAAAAATAATCACATAATTCTGATAGGGTATTTCATAAGGCTATTTCTTACAAGTTTGCAAGTTATTAGAGGGACTCCCTTAGAGTATGCCGTGAAGCTAAAACTTACTTGTGTTACTGGCTACTAAGCCTCTTCTGAGTCCTGAAATAAAATGATGGCTGGCTTGATCCCTAGTTAACAGCTAACTAAGGCAGTAATTCTCATAATGCCCTGGGGTTCTGATCAACCCTGGGATAACTTTCATCTACCAGGTGATGATGCTCATTCACTCTTTCAGATATAACACAGCCTCATCACACCCCACCGTCAAGGAAACATCAGCAATCCAAAGCTGTTGACTACCCTGTGTTGCTGAGGCCCCACGGAAAGGAGATCTGCACAACATCACTGAATAACAAAATGCTTCCAGAAACGTGGTCAGTTACCCTTCCACCTCAGGCAGATCATCAGCAAAATGACCTTAATAAACAGACACCCTTGGCCACTGTCCTGTATGCATAATTACCCCCTACATGTCTCCATCATCTATTCTCAGTGGCTCTCAAACTTTAAAGGGCATCAGATTCATCTGTGAACTGAGGCCTTGCTAGTTTAAGCTGCAGACTCCACGGGTACTCTGATGCCAGCCTAAGCCCATTTGCCCTTAGAGGGTCCACAAGAAAGAATAATAGAGTTGGTCCTCATTTTTCTTGAAAAATTTATCAGAGTACTTGGAAGACAGTGACTTTATTATCACTTGTTTTAATTTGTTCTCTATTCTTAATTCTAATGTTATAATATGGGAACATACAATATTATATACAATAGGATGCAAAGAAAACACATAGGTCTGATTTTGGTATTATTAATTTAAAGAAAAAATGCACACCTTTCTTAATAGCAAAAATTAAAACAAAATTTATATGTATTTGTTAAAAATCTGTAAAATTAAGAACATATCAAGACATACATAAGAATCAAAAAAATGAATCAAGCCAGGATAATAAAAAATTGGCAGTGTACCTTTTACTATATGAACTTCCTGTTCTTTACAGAAAGGACACAGTCGACCCTAACCAATGATACAATGTAAACTCATGTAGCTGCCTCTAATGTATATTAATATTTATGTGTCAATATATAGTAATGTTTTGGTGACTCCTGAAAGCAACCCATTATAGGTTCTCATAAGGTGGCTGAAACATGAAATGTTATCCTGTCTAATCCTAGATAAATAAGTTCATAAACCAGACTTCTAAAATGTACTGACTATCCACACATTTTTGGAAATCCATGACTTTCAATCCTCCTATACATGAGTGAGTTACTAAAGTGCATTTTGTTACAGGGCAGTCCAGAGGCTATTAAAAATATACAAATAGGTAAATAATCCAAAAGATCTGAGTTAAATCTCTCAAAACAAGGCTATACTTAAATTCTCTCTTTAAATCTGGCTGTGTTGTGAATGAATGGTGAAGGCACAGATGCTACTGGAGCTAGATTGCTGTGGGGCATGAGGAGACTATTATCCACAACTCACGGCAAAGAGGAAAGGCAAACCCTTAACAGATATGAAAAACATTAACAATTTTGAACTTTATTTTTTCACATATAAAACTGACTTTATAATGTTAATCTACCATGGTGTGAGGGAATTTAATAATGAATGGTACACGTAAATTATTTACCAGTTACCTTCAAGTACAGAAAGAACAGAATTTCTGTAAAGCTTAACCTCTTTGCAAAAGCCTAGCTCAAGCACCACTAACATTCCCTACAGAGGTTTTCTATGCAGCTGTGTCAGAGGTGTCGCACACTGAAGAGTCTACTGTTCTTTATATTTCCAAATTCAGTGATGACTTATTTTATGAAATGTCACCAGTGAGAAAAAATTAATGGTTAAAAAAATATTAAATAAAAAGAGATAGTCAAAAGAGAAGTTCCTACTGCCCTCAGCAGGAGATTTAAAAAGGAAAGAACAAGGACTTCCCTGGCGGTCCAGTGGTTAAGACGCCACGCTTCCACTGGTAGGGGGCAGGGGTTCAATCCCTGGTCAGGGAACTAAGATCCTGCATGCTGCGCCGAGAAATTAAAAAAAATAATAATAATTAAAAAAAAATAAAATAAAGAAGATATTTCTAATAAAAAAATAAAATAAAAAGGAAAGAACAGGGCAGGGCATGGTGGTGGAGAGGGAAAGAGGAGTTACAGCCTCTGGAGAGGATTAAATGACAACCTACAGAAAATGACAAATTTAACATTTATTCTGATAACTTCTTTTATTTGAAACTTTAGGAGCAATCTAACTATCTACATCTTTCGGCAAACTTTCACTTTTGATTACCCTTGTCTACTAATATGGTAATATATTATTTCTAGAGAAGTACTGGAATGCATGTTTTTCAAACATCATATGCCTCATGGGATATGAATATAATTTTTAGAGCTAGACTACATTAACATATGCTATCACTGAAACGCCTATCTGCACATCTCAAGAGAACATTATGGCTCTGGAAACATAAAGACTCTCAGTCATTCTATAAAGATTCTCAGTCATTCTAAAATGTACAAAGGAAAATTTTTTCTGCAAAAATAAGTATGCTTTACTTACTTGTATTGATCAGAAACTGATTGGACACACCAGGATGATCTACATCATGTATTGCACTGGCAAAAATTGCTGCAAGAATCTCTAAATCTGTAAACACAGCCTGAAAAAATCCAGACAATATCTGATTTTATTATAACTCATGATCAAACCTTTTCCAATGGTTATATTTTTTAAAATATTAAAAAATGAGCATCTACAAATTTTTTATAGAAAATAATAGCTTATTTTAAAAGTATTTAAGATGATGTTTAAGGATATTCTGAAAATGTGCATAAAATTAATGACATGAGCAATTATTTTCTTTTCTTCCATTCTAAACAGGGACTCTCAATCTCAGCAAAACTGACATTCGGGGCCGGATAATTGTTCGTTATGGGAGGCCATCCTGTGAATTACAGGATTTTTAGTAGGATCCCTGGCCTCTACCCATGAGATGCCAGTAGCATGTACCCCCGAGTTGTGACAGCTAAAAACGTCTCCACATATTGCCAAATGTCCCTGGGGGAAGGGAGGAGTACGAGTAAAAGGGAAAATCACCCCCAGCTGAGAACTCCTCACTCAAACGATGACATATTAACAGTTTTATAATGAAACAATCTGAACTATAAAATATATTAGCAAAGAGAATCACTCTCCCAAACAATGAAGGAAATGAAATTGCTTTACTAAACATTTAATGGAACAACTTCATAGGATCTGGTAACATTAAAGATGTGTTTCCTTCTAATAAGTTCTATGAAAAATACCAATGCATTGCTAGTATTGATATTTTATAAAATAATCATCTTTGAACTATAAATGAAAAAATCCTCAGGCTAAATTCCCAAAAAACCCCACACTAACTGAAAACTGAGGAAGCCAGATTTGCTTTGTGGAATGTCCACTAGATCATTTCAAAGAAGCAGTATCATAAAACACAGGAATCCCTAAATCTTTTTTTTTTTTTTTTTTTTTTTTGGCGGTATGTGGGCCTCTCACTGCTGTGGCCTCTCCCGTTGCGGAGCACACGGTCCGGACGCGCAGGCTCAGTGGCCATGGCTCACGGGCCCAGCCGCTCCGCGGCATGTGGGATCTTCCTGGACGGGGGCACGAACCCGTGTCCCCTGCATCGGCAGGCGGACTCTCAACCACTGCACCACGAGGGAAGCCCCCTAAATCTTTGATTAATTATCACAGACAAAATTCATCAAAGACTCAACTGTTTATTTACCACAATGACATTTCGCTCCCATAACTCAATAATATTTCTAGTGAAGTCGATTATTGTTTGCCCTGTGCACCCTTCAGTATAAAAGTTGAAGAAACCATTATGAGTGGCAAGTTAGTGTTTTCAAAGGTTTAGAAACCAGGTTTACCTCCAAAGCAGGTGTAGATAACAGCACGTGTGTTGACTGGACGACGTCTGCAGCGTGAATATTATTGTGGTAGGCCACATCAGCGTGGTAATGATCTTCCAGGGTCATTAGGTATGTAATTAAAGTGTCCACTGGAATTTTAAATGTTTTTAATAAATCCCGTTCCTGCGGGAGAAGAAATTCTCTTAACATTTTGTCCTTATAGAAAAGATTTTCCATACAGTATGTTAACAACAACAAAATATCACCCCCAGTGTCGCCTATGGATAACCCAGAAATGGGAGTAGCACTCTCTCAATGTCTAGTGAAGACAATGAAAACCCTTGGGAATGATCCAGGGACTTCAGGGGCAAAACCAGAGTCGACTTGTCCTTCTGGAGCCCAGCAATGCTTTTCTCAAGTTATATGGTGTCAGGAATGAGCTGCCAACTATCAAAGTATCTGTGTCCCGGGATCCTGAAGGCAGCTTCAGTACAACACCAATGACAAGGATACTGGGTCAAAACAAGTGAGACACAATATCCTCTCGAGGGTTGGAGCTGCCCTTCCAAGTCCCAGGGTGTCTATAGCTGCAACTTCTCATATAAATCCTAACACTGAACTGGGGCAAAAACTTGACAAGAATGAGAAACCGATGTGAAGAAGAGAGCAGTCCACAAGACAGTGACTGAAGAAATTACATACTAAGATTAGTCAGCAAAGGGCTTATTCAATTTGTAAAGTTAGCACTACATTCTCTATGCAAGTCAGGATCACGTGGACGATTTTTAAACTATTATTTTAATGAATTGCTTTAATTTGCCCACATCACATCTTTTTCTTCAATGGAAAAAATAACACAATTGATTTGTGTTTTACCCATATGCTATCCTTTCTGTATCCTTATTTTGAAAAAAGTTATCAAAGTAAGTCAAAGAGGGTAAGTAGTGAAGAAGATAAAATGCATGCACAATTCACAGACTGGACGTTATGACACTAAATAAACGAGAGGTGATAGAACTTAACTGCATTACCTGAAAAATGGTGTGCATGATAACAGTCAAAGGCCGGTTCCCAGACAACTCTGCTATTCTGAAAACGTGAAGACCCCATTTGTTCACATCTTCTAGTTCCTGGGGTTAACGAAAGATAGAACAAATCGGATTGCAGAAGTAGAACAGGAAACAATGAACACAATCATTTAAAAATTACTGACTTCAATGAAAAGATCATTAAATTAAAAAACAATTCATTTTAAATGTAATGATGCACCATGTAAGTACAGGCAAACTTTAGGCAAATCCGCTTAAGCACACTAGAAACTGAATGGTGTTGCTTAACCCTATATCTCTGACAGTAAAACATATTTACATACGTGAAATATTGATCTCAAAGTATTTCTCCAATAGTTAAAACCTACTCTCAAAAACTTTACTTATTCTCCTAAAAGACTTTTTAATTGTTTAAGGTCAAAGAATCAAATATAGATGCAAAAATAAAGAACACCAAACTGCCTGTCTAAACCCACATATTAATAAAACCCAAGTGATTTAGAAAGAGCTTTATAAAGGGCTTTCCCATCGTCCAAAAAACCCTCCCACAAATTAATAAACTTTTCCATTGATTTAAAAGAGAAGGTATCAAAGTTTACTGCATATTTCTGATCAGGATACTTGAAATCGTCTTACCTTGGCAAGGATGTCTTCTTGTTCAGTTTTGACCCCAAACCTTGGGATGCTTGAATTAGTCAAACTGGAGCTGTGCATCAATTTCTTGACCCCACTGATCTGAGACATTGGCCTTTTCTTTTTCTCCTTTTCCTTCTGAGTTGGAGAAGGAATTTCCACTTCATGTTGCTTATCTTAAAAATTAAAAAAAAAATTCTTCATTTACTATTAATTCTACCTGGGTTTTTTTTATTGTAACAGGCATAATGGCGGATTTTAATTGATCAGTATATATTCTAGGAAATATTTCCAAGTAAAACTCCTTTTAAAGAAGTTGAGTATTTATAATTCGATGTGGACTTAATTTGATACTCTCAAACACAAAATTAAGCAAATAAATTCCACTGCAAAATAATTAACATCAAATGTATTCAGTGATTACGTCTTTTGAAAAACTTACGATAGCAGACTTGGAAAAGGCAAAAGACACCGGTTATTTCCACTGCTCATCGATTTCATTCCTATTTAAAATTCACTTAGTGGTGAGAACACTGCTCTTGCCAATTAAGAACTCCAGTTTCAATACCTACTTTGAAATGGAAGAAACTTCGTGCACGAATATAAAAACAGCACTAATGTGTGAACCTAATAGCTTCCTGAAATGGGTCATTCTGTGGGAGCATACACAGCGTATGTGAAGGACTTAGATTGCTACTGCTAGTTTACATTTTCTATACGATAGTGAGATGGGGGAATCATGCAATAAGGTTTTACGGGGAGCACAGAGTACCTCCAATATTATCTGATAACTAAATATCAGATTCACAAAAGCTAATTGTTGTTTTCAAATAAGACATCAGATGTCTCAGTACACTCATTCACTATTTCAAGACAGTGAGCTCCTTTAACTTGTCCTTGCACAGAGTGTGTGTTCAATAAATGCCTGTTTAGTGAATGTGCTAATTAGCTATTACGACAGTTTTGTTTTGAAAGTAAATTCAGATCAAGGATGTGTTCAAGTTATTGGTTTTCCTTTACTGCATTTTCTTTCTGTGGATGGAGGGTGGGGGAGTGGTGTCCCAGTACACCATACTGTCAGCTATTATCAGCAAGCATTTTTTTAGCTCTTGTGTTATATTTATCTGTCTCTCCAGTCTACCAGGCATGGTGCCCATTAGACTATCAACTCATTGAGTTTAGGGACCATTTCTAATTGATCATTAAATACCTAGTGCCCAGCAATGACTGGCATTTAACAAGAATTTGTTGAATGCATGAATAGATCTCTCTATAAGATACATTTTACTGTTGAGTACTTTGGAAAAACGGACAATATACAACTTTAATTCAGAGAATCCCTGAAGTCCTGAATAAAACAAAAAGATAAAACATATCCTTTGTCACCTTAGGTTCTAAAGCTTAGAGGCTCAAATTATTAATATGATGAATGAAAACAAATGGAATTCCTAACTCTTATTTCCAAAATAAGTTTGCACCCCAGTCTGCTTCCAAAAACAAACAATGCAAAAAACTTTAAAAAATTGCATTTAAATTGTTATTCTCACCTAAGAATGTGTTTGATATATACTCTGACACTTGATTTCCAGACCGACTCATTTCAGAGAGATGGGTGAGCTCTCGATTAAGCATCCTTTTAAACTGAAAAACAGAAAGATAAAATGAAATAACAGAAGAGGAAAGTTGAAGTGAAATAACATAAGCATATGTTAAGATACAGAAAATATGCCAAAGAATTTTTAACCTGTCCTGACTCTTTAGATCAGTCCCATCCAATAGAACTTCCTACAATGATGAAAAAATTCTATAATCTCCGCTATCCATCACAGGAGCCACTAGGCATATGTGGTTATCAAGCAATTGAAATGTGGCTAGTGCAAATGAGGAGCTGAACTCTGGATTTTATTTCATTTTAATTAATTTAAACTTCAATAGTTACATGTAGCTAGGGGCTACCATATTGGACAGCACAGATTGAGACACTCAAGGACGACATTAATTAAGGGGGAAAAAGGCATAAAAAATAACATGCATTATTAGTATTTAGAGAAGAGAAAAAAACTAATTTATAAACATACAAAAGGGTTGCCACACAATAAAACATGGTATGTTTTCATCAATTAATTTGTCATTAGCAGAAATGATAAGTATACTGGTCAGAGGTTAAAATGTAGTCTTTTCCCCCAAAGCAAAACTGAATAGATTTATTTGAGTACTCTCCCAGAACTATGGAGAAAATATCTGAATAGATACTATATGATATTTCCTTTGTAAAGTTTTTTCTAAGTAGGGATTTATTGGTTCTCAAACATTCACAGAATTTACCAATCTTCCTAAGTCCCATAAAAACAATTGAAAATTGACCTGTTCAATTGAAACTTCACTGCTTCACAATTTATTTTACTGGTGCTCCGGTGCCTATTTTACCCAAAGAAATTTGTCTACCACCTGGAATTTATCTACCACCACTACATGGCATTATCAAAATCCAGAATTCTCCATGACGTTATGCTTTTCCATCCATCAACTGCTTCTTTTTTTTTTTTTAACATCTTTATTGGAGTATAATTGCTTTACAATGGTGTGTTAGTTTCTGCTTTATAACAAAGTGAATCAGCTATACATATACATATATCCCCATATCCCCTCTCTCTTGCATCTCCCTCCCACCCACCCTATCCCACCCCTCTAGGTGGTCACAAAGCACGGAGCTGATCTCCCTGTGCTACGCAGCTGCTTCCCACTAGCTACCTATTTTATATTTGGTAGTGTATATCTCTCCATGCCACTCTCTCACTTTGTCTCAGCTTACCCTTCCCCATTCCCATGTCCTCAAGTCCATTCTCTATGTCTGTACGTCTGTGTCTTTATTCCTGTCCTGCCCCTAGGTTCTTCAAAACCATTTTTTTTTTTTTAGATTCCATATATATGTGTTAGAATATGGTATTTGTTTTTCTCTTTCTGACTTACTTCACTCCGTATGACAGACCCTAGGTCCATCCACCTCACTACAAATAACTCAACTTCATTTATTTTTATGGCTGAGTAATATTCCACTGTATATATGTGCCACATCTTCATTATCAATTCATCTGTCCATGGACACTTAGGTTGCTTCCATGTCCTGGCTGTTGTAAACAGAGCTGCAATGAACATTGTGGTACATGACTCTTGTTGAATTATGGTTTTCTCAACTACTTCAATTGCTTCTTAATGTATCTTCCTTTGACTTCCAAAATAACCCAAATAGACCTTTTAATATACCTTAATATTTCTCTTAACATACACTAACATACAGTAACTATTAGATACTTGATCCAAAAAAGTCACATATTACTCTAATATTTAGTAGCCTTTAAAATTTTGAATTTCCCCATAAATCCTCATTTAAGTCTGGAAAAAGAGAGTAGTGAGTTCATTGTTTAGTAATGTCTGAAATGTAATTCTAACTCAGTATTTAATTAGTTTATTAGAATTTTTTAAAAAATCTTGATTCTCTGCATAATTCATACCAAGGTGTTCTAATTCAAGATAATTTGGCAAATAGCTTCCAGAGTTAATCTTACTGACCACCTAGATTAGGTATAAGAATTTATCACTGTAAAGTACTGAGAGAGATCAATAAAAAATTTCAACAGACTTTTTTTTTTTTTTTTTTTAAGCGGTACGCGGGCCTCTCACTGTTGTGGCCTCTCCCGTTGCGGAGCACAGGCTCCGGACGCGCAGGCTCAACGGCCATGGCTCAGGGGCCCAGCCGCTCCGCAGCATGTGGGATCTTCCCGGACCGGGGCACGAACCCGTGTCCCCTGCATCAGCAGGCGGACTCTCAACTACTGTGCCACCAGGGAAGCCCTCAACAGACTTTTGAATACAAGAAATGCATATTAGCATTCTCTTGCAGTCAAAACAGAAGAACTGGCTACAACCAATAGAAATGCCTCTGGTTGTTTAACTTGCAGGTTGAGAGAGGTTATTCTCAAACTCAGGAACACAAAGTTCACTTTCTTTGTGTATTTTTTTTTATAACTTGCTCTGATTATAAAATGCATATGGGATATAAAAAATCTAGAAAGCTATATAGAAAAAATTAGAACTCATGTACAACCCCACTGTCCCACTGCTAATAACCATATATAAATAGCTATATTTCCTTCTATGCCTTTTTTTTCATTTGTATATATATATTTGTTGAAGTACAGTTGACTTAAAAATATCATATGAGTTTCAGGTACACAACAGAGTGACTAAACATTTTATAGATTCTGTACCATACAAAGTTATTGTAATTTTATTGTCTATATTCTCTGTGCTGTACATTCCATCTTATGATATATATATATATCTCATATATATGTGTCTGTGTCTCTCTCTCTGTCTCTCTCTCTCTCTCTCTATATATATATATAGACACACATACCTGGTGGAATATTACTCAACCATAAAAAGAATGGAATCTTGCCATTTGTGACAACATGGATGGACCTGAGGGTGCTATGCTAAATGAAAGAAGTCAGAGAAAGACAAATACTGTATGTTTTCACTTATATGTGGAAGCTAAAAAACAAAACAAATGATCAAATATAACAAAACAGAAACAGACTCGCATATACAGAAAAACTAGTGGTTGCCAGAGTGGGGGGCAGGGTAAGGGATAGGCAAAATAAGAGAAGGGGATTAAGAGGTACAAACAACCAGTTATAAAATAAATAAGTCACAAGGATGTATATATATTTTTAAAACTGGCATCATGTAGTGTACGAAACATGGGTTACTGCTTATTTTCACTGAGCATTATATATTATGATCTGCTGGGGGAAACATAAAATTTGGAACCTTCCAAGAATGTTCATGAAGACATTTCCAATAGTGTTCAAAAAATTTTCTGCTGATCTTTTTGTAAAGTTATGTTTTCTTAAGTAAATTATAGGCTATCAACCAGGAATGTATTAGATTATTTAACTCGTACTGGCACACAGTGGGTGCTCAACATTGAGTTCTTTCTATCTCCCAGTTTCCTGGGCCCTTTTATAGTGATAGCTGATTTTTATCATTGCAGGGCAAATGGATGGAAGATCTAACTACACTTATGCTCACACAAAATATATATCTAAATATCTAGCTCCCTTACCAATTCCAAAAAATAATTAGGGTATTATTCATATAAGAAATGGTCACCATGCTTCAAAAATATAACAATAATACCACACATAAGGCACAAAGGTAAGTAAATCCTGTTTAATGAATGAAATTTTACTCTTGGAAAAAATCTACTCTTTGGGCAAATATATATTCAAGAGAGTCTGCTAAATATCTTAAACATATATTTAATGAAATATTTCTTTGACCTGAATTGTCTGTGCTATGAGATAAAAGTTGCTATTAAGAACTGCCTGGTCATGACAAAGTCCTTTCTTAAAAGCTGGGGGAATAGGTAAGGCTATCAGCCACTCCTCACATTTCTACAGTGTGCTATACAGGAACCACTGTCCACCTGCCCTCCGTGAATTTCTCTCAATGTAACTAAAAAACGATGCAACCTCCGTGGGGTGTGGGGGAGTTGGTGCCCCTGGAAAAGTTAGATAGGAGCCCAGTTTTTCTATAGAGACACCTTCTAACTTGTAAGCAACCTGGTAGGAGGAATATGATGCCATACGCCCAAGCAGAAAAACTGCTTGGTATCTGCAGATATGCCACACAAATTATTGGATTTATCTGTCAGAATATGAAGAACGAGGTGTCTTTTCCTGTCAGTTTGATTACACAACTCATCAAAATAGCCAGTTGGTACAGATAACTGAGGCAAAAAAAATGCCAGTGGAAGGATTCTACTGTACAGACTGATAAATGACAGATTATATTCTACTGATTATTTCTGATTCATACACATATATTCCCAGACTACCCTTCTGCCTTTGTTCCAAACTCAAAAGCATGGGTGGAGAAACCCTTCATGGCACACTTATCTCCCTCCCACTTGTGAGGTGCTCCAAGGAAGAAAACATTTCCTTTCAACATAATTAGATGACACAATATTTTAAGCAGTCCTCTTTTTCCCAAGAGTATGGGAGATTTCCTAAAGACAATTTCCAGAGAGTCAATTAAGTTATAACGCAAGGGCACTTTCTAAGAGGAATTAATATGGCTTCCTTTTTGTGCTATTGATATAAAACATACAGTCCAGGGAAGCTAAATTAATAACCACAAAAATTACCATCAGAGTTTTCTCAACTGGTAGTTGCTCTTACAGTTTGGTCTTGGAGTGCACAGCAGGATGTGATAAGAACAATAAACTTAACCATTCAACAATCATTTTAAAACGTAAGTGGAATTTCTCTCATTTTAAGATAACTACATACCATTTATTAAGATAATGATATATAATTGCCATGAGGGGGAAAATGATTAGAAAAGGTAATAAAATGTACTTTTTCAGGAACACTGTTACGGGTTCTCAATAAGTGACAAAATACAGAACTGCTTTTCAAAAGAACTGGTTGCAAAATGCAGAGCAATTTAATTGAGCATTTAGATATCTTTAAAAGTGACCTCTAAATATTTTTGGCTGATGAGTTATTCTGATTGTTTCTGGTCTCTAAATAGTCTGAAATAATATGTAGAATTATTGTTGCAACAAAGAAAAG